CCTGCTTGTTGTCCCCCCATTGTCACAATTGCGTCTGGCAGGGACAAGGCCTTTTCTGTGGTTCCCCCCCCCCCCCCCCCCGGCTATGGAACTCCCTCCCGAATGAAATTAGATCCATTGAGCTTCCGGAAACAAGTAAAATCTTGGCTATGGGATCAGGTCTTTGTAGATTAGGCTGACTGGCTGACGTGACAACTCATATAGAACTGATAGACTGTCCTTGGATGATTATTTAAACTGGTGACCGCTGACTGCTTCATTGTTTTTTATATTGTTGTACACTGTTTATACTGTTTTATGTTGTAATTATTGCTGTTAAATTGTATATTTATGTTTTTGATGTGGGAGCCATGGGGTGCTGATTTGTTAGCTGCCCTGAGTCCCCCTGCGGAGGTTGAGATAGGACGGGATATAAAAGCCCCAAATAAATAAATAAATGGATACCCCGGCCAAGGTAAAGCAAAGAAGCAAGCATGTGGACAGAAATTATAATTTGTGTTAGATGTGCAGTAAAGAATTGTGAGATCAATCTGGTTTACTGCAATACAAATTTAAACTGGGTGATGTGTTAACAAAACCGTTGATTCTTCAGAAGTATTTAACAGTATTGAGTGATTTGTGTATTTTTGAATGTACTGTATAAATGTAAAGGCTTATTTTTTTCTGTTGAAACAAGGATGGGTGCTAGAGCATGCAAGGAATCAGTGAGTGTGTTTGTGTCAACTGTAAAATAAAGTGTGTGAAGCCGATTGGTCATGCAATGCACGGGGTGATGTTGGAGCCCGGAACTTTTTGATACTGTTGCATTTTACAGGATTGAGCTATGCAGGTGTTCAGACAGTTTGAAGAGAGAAGCAGGGAGAAAAAGACTGATTTACTTATTGGCTGCTGAAAAAGAGATCTTTCATATGGACAAAGAAATACCGTTTTAAATCTCTCTGAAAGGATATTTAGTGAGTTGATGCAACTGATCATATTATACATATGTTGTTCTGAATTAAGAAGAGTAAACTACTTGTTTTTTATTGTTCATTTGCATGGTATATTTTCTTTACCTGGCAAGGTGGTGTGTGGGCTATCCAACGTGAACTACAAGTGGTTTAGTCTATATTTTGCCACAGAACACTCCCCCCCCCCCCAGTGCAATTAGCACAGATAATAGGAAACACTTCCAAGAAATGTTGGCATAGATGAGGGGGGATAGGTTCATTCTCTTATATGTGGTGGGATTGCAAAAAAAAAAAAAATACAGCAAAATCAGAAAGGTAATGGAGGATATAATAGGGCAAAAATTAAATTAGGATAAAGCTAGATTCATGTCTCTCACCATAGAGGTAAAGGAAGGTAACAACAAATGGACAGAAATTCTAAAATATATGATAGCTGCAATACAGGCTACAATAACCCAAGGATGGAGAGACAATACAACATGGAAATTGGAAACTTTGTGGTCCTATCTCTCTGAATACATAATTAATGATTTCATTAATCAAAGGAAAAACAAGTAGTAGTAGTAGTAATAATAATAATAATAATAATAATAATAATAATAATAATAAACCTTTATTTGTATCCCGCTACCATCTCCCGAAGGACTCGGTGCGGCTTACACGAGGCCGAGCCCAAAATACAACAATAAACAACAACAATAATACAGCAAAATAAAACAAAAACAAGCAATAACATTAACAACACGCAGTGACACAGTTAAAAACAATAGCTGGGCCAAATGTAATAATTAAAATTAAAATTTAAAAGTGCTGGGCATGAAAGGTAGGGTGTTTGGAGGAGGGTGGGCATGCAGATATCCTAAATCTCTGATAAAGTGCGTTGGGACATAATGCTAGGAGTTTCCTGGAAAGGCACACTGGAACATCCATGTTTTCAAGCTCCTCCTAAAGATTTCTAGTGACGGGGCCTGCCTGATGTCCTTAGGGAGAGAGTTCCAGAGTCGAGGGGCCACTACCGAGAAAGCCCTATCCCTCGTCCCCACCAATCGCGCTTGCGATGCCTCTCCAGATGAACAAAGAGATCGTGTGGGTTCGTACACTGAAATGCGGTCACGGAGGTAGGCGGGTCCCAAATCGTTTAGGGCTTTGTAGGTAAGCACCTGCACCTTGAATTGGGACCGGAAAATGAATGGCAGCCAGTGGAGCTCCTTAAACAGGAGGGTTGACCTCTCTCTGTAAGGGGCATCAGTTAACAGCCTGGCCGCTGCCCGTTGGACCAATGAAATTTCCGGGTCGTTTTCAAGGGCAGCCCCACATAGAGTGCATTACAGTAATCCAATCTGGAAGTGACTAAGGCGTGGACCACCCTGGCCAGATCCGCCATTCCTGAGGTACGGTCGCAATTGGCGCACAAGTCTTAATTGTGCAAAGGCCCTCCCAGCCACCGCCGACGCCTGATCTTCAAGCGACAGTGATGAGTCCAGGAGGACACCCAAACTGCGGACCTGTGATTTCAGGGGGAGTGTAACCCTGTCCAGCACAGGTTGCCACCCTATATCCTGATCCGGTACATGAAGAGTTACACAAAACAAGACTGGGATAGGAAATGGAAAACAGATGGAAATGATAGGTATAGAACTTTGAACCAGATTTTCCACACAGTTAAATAAATGCAATGATATCATTTGAAATGGCTGTCCCAGGTGGGAAGGGAGAAATGGGGGGGGGGGGGGGGGGGGGGTATCCACATCCAAAGAATATATAAAGCGTTAATATTGCAAAGTGATATTTGGAACAATGTATAGTGAAATAAAGTCTGTATTACAAAGCCTGCTAAATAATTGGATGTATTAATAATAAAATTAAAAAGTAAAATAAACTCAAGAATACAAACAGTGATGATTTCATGGAGTAAAGGCTTAAGGGAAAATATTGATTTGGAAAATAAGAATATTTATGGAAAAGAAGTTTTAAATTTTAGATACCTGGGTTTGTGAGAGAAAACATGTATAAAATCTTCTATAGAAGCCATGTATTTATGTATTTTGCACCTCCAAGATTCCCCCTTTTGGGATTCGTCTATTTTGCTTATCACCGCAGGGTATAGTAAAATAGACAAATCCCATCAGGGGGAATCTTAGAGATGCAAAATACATAAAGGTACCTTCTTTCATGCTTGGTGGGTTTGCAGGCTGATACAAGCTTTTTGGGAAAAGGTAATCGAGGAAACAAACACAATAATTACTAGTAAGGTTAAGAAAAACCCAGAAATATGCCTCTTAGGTTTATTTGGGGGAAAAAATCAATAAAGAAGATATAGAATTTTTTTCAATACAGTTTTGTAGCTGCAAGATTGCACCAGGATTGTGGCGCAGCTGGCTGAGTGTCAGCTACATTAAGATCACTCTGACCAAAAGGTCATGAGTTCGAAGCCAGCCCGGGTCGGAGTGGGTTTCCAACCAATTGTGTGTAGCCTGTTGTTGACCTTTGCAACTCAAAAGACAGCTGCATCTGTCAAGTAGGAAAATTAGGTACCACCTTAAAGTGTGGGGAGGCTAAATTAACTGATTTATGAGGCCATAAAGAAGACTCCAGCAAAGCATTCCAGCGGGGAAGCATGTGCGGAATGCGGAAGTGCTTCATCAGTGTCGCAGATGGACGATGAAAGCGACAGCTCTCCTGGCGGCCAGAAAAAGTTAAATAGCCTCTGTGTATGTCTGTATATGTTTGTATGTCAAAAATTGGCATTGAATGTTTGCCATATATGTGTACACTGTAATCCGCCCTGAGTTCCCTGCGGGGTGAGAAGGGCGGAATATAAAAGCTGTAAATATAAAAAGCTGTAGATAATAGTAAAATCATAGAAGGGGAAAAAAGAACTATTTATAAAGAACTGGGGAGGATAATTATTAGACTGTATCCAAATGGCCAAGCTGTCCAATGGCATTAGAGGAGGAAATAACGAAAACTTTGTTAGAAAATGGAGGCTTGCATTTCAATACCTAGAAAGGAAGACAAGGGTAGTATTTAAAATAGCGACATGGGGAGTTATTAATATAAAGATAAAGGTAGATTTCAATGTGATATTAGAGTGGTGTTGGAAGTCATGTGTGGTGGTTCATGAGTGGGGGAGGGGGAGCATGTGGTAGACATTAGGGCTGGACAACCACGGAAAAATTTGTTTCTAAAATCGATTCGTTTTTTTGGGGCTTTTGCGTTTCGATTTTTAAAAGAATTCCGAAATTTTTCTTTTAAAAAGTTTGATATTTACGAAATTTCGTAAATTACAAAACAATACGAAACAATAATGAAACAATTACGAATCGATTCGTTAATGGCGGACGCGACCGCGCAATACGCTTAAAAAACCTCCAAATGGGACAGGGGGAACTTCTGAAGCTTCCCTCTCCCTCTGTTGTTGACTGTTGGTGTGATATTTATAATTTTTTTTCACTGATTAAACAAACAACAACTATAAAACTTGCCCCAGACATGCGGAAATAATAACGAAACGATTTCAAAACGATAACGAAACGAATACAAAACGAATTCGAAAACAATTACGAAACGAATTTAAAAATTCGTTTCGTTTTTTAGTTGCTCCTGAATGGTTCGTTATCGCTTCGTTATAAAAAAAAATGAATTTTTAACGAATTACGAAATTACGAAACGAAACCGCCCAGCCCTAGTAGACATGTATTTGCGTTATGTGCATTTGATGTATTTACTTTATTTTCTTTCACATTCTGTATATCAACTTTACACAATAAAAATTATAATTTGTTTTTTAAAAATTAACCTCAATATATTTTTCCAACATATTTAAATTGTGGATGAGATAAATCTATGTACACACACGCATCAAGATTTCCCAACCAGTTACAGTGTAACCAACTGGATATCAAATTATACATAAAAAGTATTCCATACTTTTTGTTAACAGATATTGTGATTGTAAGTGAGAAGGGCGGGGTATAAGTAACTGCAATAAATAAATAAATAAAAATAGAGGAGGGCAGAAATCAAAGACAGCTCAGAGGATTGTCACACCTTTTCAAAATACTTGATTTCATACTCCAAGATGATGCCGTTCGGTCGATCTGGTTCCTGCCAGGAGAGAGAGATGCTATTTTTGGCAACTTTCCCTTTTTTCACATTTGTGATTGGAGATGGTGCTGTGGAACATGAGAAGAAATAAAAACAAAATCAGGATAATTTTTAGTTTAGAGGAATAAAAAGAAACCCCTTTCTAACATTACACACTATCAGGGCTTGAAAAACAAGTTAAGAGCTCCCTGTTGCTAAAACACTCATAATCTTAGCACAAAGCATAAGTAGGAATTAGATGCAGAATTGCCGTCCATTCACCTGGCAGAGAGAATGGCCCAGTCGTTTAATCACAAAGTATGATGCTTTCATATCTAGAAAACTTTTATTAAATCAGGCCAAGTTTAACAATTGGAGTCCAACAATTTTTAATGAGATAAATTAGATCAGATTCAGACTTAGTCATCTTAGGCCCTTCCAGACAGGCCCAAAATGAGGAAGCAATCAGGATTTAAAATCACAATTCTTTTCATGATTTAGGCCACACACATGACCCAAATTCCAGGTTTTCCCTGGGTGTATGAGTGTATGTGTGTGACTACATACTATCCTGGATCAACCATCTAGCCTGCCCCTAAAATGATGTGTAAGGAACTTTCTCCAAGGGGTCTGAGGATGCAGCTAGGCTCCTCTGGTAAATTTACAGGAGAAACAGGGGGCTGGGAGGGGAGGGTGGAAGTGCCATCCCGTTCCTTGGAGCTCTTAGAGCCGGAAGAACCAGGATGGCAATAGGGATTGGCCCCCAGAATCACAAAAGGCAGCCCCAAGAGTCAATCGCCACAGGCCCAACACCTGAAAAGATAATTTCCAGTAATTTCCAGATCTTTCCAGGAGTTTAAAAAATATTTTTATTAATTTTTCCAGGAAAAATAAAATAAAAAGAAAGGACATAGTGGGAGAGGGGGGTGAAGTGAGGAGGGGGAGGATTTTGGAGGTTTTTTTGGGGAGGGGAGTGTAGGGATGGGATGGTTTCATAGGTTTTCTTTCCTCTTCCTCACGGGCCTAGTTTGATAAGTGTCCTAATTACTTTTTTTATTGTTGATGTCTTGATCGATTCCAAGGGATATGGTTTTCTTCCTTGCTTTATGTTCTTTTTCTATATAAATAAAAATGCAATGTTCGTTTGTGGGATTAACAGAACTCAAAAACTACTGGACGAATTGCCGCCAAATTTGGACACAAGACACCTACTAACCCAAGGAGTGACCATCACAAAAAAAATGATTTTGTCACATGGGAGTTGTAGTTGCTGGGATTTATAGTTCACCTACACCCAGAGAGCACTATGGACTCAAACAACGATGGATCTGGACCAAACTTGGCATGAATACTCAATATGCCCGAATATGAATACAGATGAAGTTTGAGGAAAATAAACCTTGACATTTGGGAGTTGTAGTTACTGGGATTTATAGTTTACCTACAATCAAACCACATGCTGAACCCCACCAAAGACAGAATTGGGGGAAACTGCTCACACAGAACCCCATAATTAGGCCATCTAGTCCAACTCCCTTCACAAGGGCAAGAAAATGTAATCAAAGCCCTCCTGACAAAGAGCCATCCAGCCATAGATATAGACAGATATGATTCACACACAGAGAGATGTAGTATCATAGATTTGAAAGGGACTCCTAAAGAAGGACAATTCTATCTTGCATGTTTCAGAGTAGACAAACTAGACAATCTCCACATCAACACTGACAAAGAAAAAGCAAGAAACACTGTTAACCCACAAGCATAAAGACATTACATATATTAGAAACCAACATTTTCTAATTACTTTATTTTCCAGATCACCAGACTGGACCACAGCAACGCATGGCAGGTAGATGCAGAGATAGAGAAAGAGAGAGAGAGGTAGACAGATACATAGATAGATGCACATATAGATAGATAGAGGGACAGACAGACAGCTAGATGGAGACATAGGTAGACAGATAGGTAGATAGATGCAGAGATAGATAGAATGATAGATAGATGATAGGTAGATAGATGATAGATAGATAGATAGATAGATAGATAGATAGATAGATAGAGGGGGCTTGTGCGGTGAGAAGAAGGAGGGAGGCATGTGCGTGATGAGAAAAGGTGCATGCGCGGGTGGTGAGAAGAGGGAGGGACTTGCAAGAAGAGGACAGGGACACACGCATGCACCTCTTCTTGTCGCGCAAGCCCCTCTCTCTTCTCGCTGCCAACATGTGCACCTTTTCTTACCGTGCACATGCCTCCCTCCATTTTCTCACCATCCGCGCGGTGAGAGCAAGAGGGACTTTGCTGGTAAGACGAGGTGCACGCGTGGTCATGAGAAGAGAGAGGGGGGTTGTGCGGTGAGAAGAGGTGCGTGTGCACGTCCCTGCCCTCGTCGCACAAGCCCCCTCCCTCTTCTCACCACCCACACGTGCCCCTTTTCTTGCTGCACGTTTGCCTTCCTCTCTCTTCTTGCCATACTTGACTTCCTCTCTCTTCTTGCTGTCCGCTGCAGGTCCAGTGAAGAGGAGGACAACTTAGCTACCGCCTTTTCACAGAGCAAAGCAGCGGTGAGAGGACACCCCCGCAGAGCTTCATCTACAAAAGCTTGTTCACCTACAAGAGGCTCTTGTAGACAAAGAAGGAGAGGTGAGGGCCTCCACGCCTTGGCGGGAAGGCGTGGAGCTTAAAGAAGGGCTTCTTTCAGCCCCACACCTTCCTGGCAGGACCCTCTCTCGAGTATAAGCCGAGAGGGGCTTTTTCAGCCTTAAAAGGAGGCTGAAAAACTCAGCTTATACTCAAGCATATACAGTATCACAGTATGCTGAATCTGCACATGTGTTATGATATAAGTCTCTATAGGTTACGTGCTCTATAGGTTATGTTCAGACTGATCACATAGGATGAAAGCTGGGTCCATCACTATGATCCTGAGACTAAAGTCCAGTTGATGCAATGGAAGCATCATAACTCACAGCCATAACTCACTGCCTCTTATCTCAGTTGTTGATCTCCCCTATCCCCCCCCCCCCCAAACTCCAGATCATGGGGTGAACAGAGTAGCTCCTAGACTGGTACGGACAGCATCCTAACAGGAGTCCTAGTTTCCAGGGCAGAAAAAAGCAAGCCTGTTCTGTCTTCCTTATGGCATCCTTTCACATATTTATAATAGCTATCATGCATCCTCTCAATCTTCTCTTTTGCGGGATAAATTTACCCAATTCTTTAAGACCCTCCTCATAGGCCATGGTCTCCAGACCTTTGATAATTTTAGTGGCCTTCCTCTGGACACCTTCCAGCTTGTCAATATCTCTTTTGACCTGTGACGCCTAGAATTGGACACAATTTTCCAGGTAAGATCTAACCAAAGCAGAGAGGCACCATGACTTCCCTTGATCTAGACACTATACTACTTTTGATGCAGTCCAAAATCCTATTGGTTTTTTTACACCCTCTAAACCTTCAGCTATGTCATTAATAACGATATTAAACAGTACTGGGCCCAGGTTCAAACCCTACGGCACTGCACTAGTCACTTCTTTCAAGGATGAAGTGGTGAGCACCCTTTGGTTTAAGCCACTTAACCAATTACAGATCCACTTAACAGTAGCATTGACTAGCCCACATTTGATAGTATGTTTGCTAGAAGGCCATGGGGAACTTTATCGAAGACCTTAGTGAAATCAAGATATGCTGAAATCAAGATATCTACAGCATTTCCTGCATCTACCAAGCTTGTAACTCTATAAAAAAAGAGATAAGATTAGTCTGGCATGACTTGTTTTTGAGAAATCCAGGTTGACTTTTAGTAATCACAGCATACCTTTCTTAGTGATTGTAGACTGCTTCCTTAATGATCTGTTCCAGAATCTTTTCTGCTATTGATGTCAGTCTGATTGGTTTGAGTCCTCTTTTTCCCATTTTTAAAGATAGGGACAACATTTTCCCTCCTCCAGTCTGCTGGAACTTCTGCAGACTGGAGGAGACTTCTGGGATTTCTCAAAAATTATTGCTAGTGGTTCTGAAATTACTTCTGCTAATATGCTGTTAAAGGTGCAGCCAAAGTTGGTGGACATCCATCCAGTCGGTAAAACAAGACTGGCGCTGACTGTAGTTCAGATCACGAACTTCTTATTGCACAATTTAGTCAGATTAAAGAGACTAAGGATAACACACAGACCAGTTAGATATGATCTCACAAATATCCCTAGTGAATATGCAGTGGAAGTGAAGAATAGACTGAAGGGACTAGATTTAATAAATAGAGTACCAGAAGAACTGGGTTGCAATTAGACATCCGAAAAACCAAGATTACGGCAACCAGACTGATTGATAACTGGCAAATAGAGGGAGAAAACGTGGAGTCAGTGACAGACTTTGTATTTCTAAGTGTGAAGATTACTGCAGATGCAGATGGCAGCTCGGAAATCAGAGGGCGTTTACTTCTTCTATAGAGCAATGACCAATCTCGATAAAATAGTGAAGAGTAGAGACATCACACTGGCAACAAAGATCTGCATAGTTAAAGCAAAGGTATTCCCCATAGCAACCTATGGATGTGAGAGCTGGACCATAGAGAAGGCTGAGTGAAGGAAGATCGATGCTTTTGAACTGTGGTGTTGGAGGAAAATTCTGAGAGTGCCTTGAACCGCAAAAAGATCAAACCAGTCCATACTCCAGGAAATAAAGCCTGACTGCTCACTGGAGGGAAGGTTATTAGAGGCAAAAATGAAGTACTTTGGCCACATAATGAGAAGATGGGAAAGCTTAGAGAAGACAATGATGCTGGGGGAAATGGAAGGAAAATGAAGAGAAGATGAAGGGCAAGATGGATGGTATCCTTGAAGTGACTAGCTTGACTTTGAAGGAGCTGGGGGTGGCCATGACTGACAGGGAGCTCTGGGGTAGGCTGGTCCATGAGGTCACAAAGAGTCGGAAGTGGCTGAACGAATAAACAACAAAGTATGCTGTCATTTCTTGTTTTCTATAAGAGGTATTTGACTGCCTTTCAGTGCTCACTACACCCAAAATAATAATAAACAAGACAGTTAACACCATAATGCTTTTTGAATGCCACTTTTTCCAGGATGTTCAAATC